GGCGAAGCTTTTTCTCATATACTGTGGGCATGTAAGCAGGAAGAGCCATCATGCTCAACAAGATTCAGAGGTGGTTAGGTGTTGGAGCTGACTTGAGCACCCAACAACAGGATTATCAGCTAAAGATCTAAGGAAGAAAGGAAAAGCTGCTCTGAGGCACGCATAAAGGTTTTTATAGTTATGTACTGTAGAGTCAGAATCAACTCATAGCTGACACTCCAGCAGGTTTCCATAGGCAGTTTAATCACACAGGAAGAGATTGCCCTTCTTTTCCCACAGAGCACCTGGTGGATTCAAACTGTGTGCTTTTGGGTTGGCAGTGCAACTCCTTACCACTAAGCCACCAGAGCTCCCTATACAGGTGTTGTTGTTGTTGTTGTTGTTGTTATGTGTCGTCAAGTTGTAGGCAACTCACAGCGACCCTATGAACAAAAGACCTGAACACTTGTATCACTTTTGTAATTTCTCCACGTTCATGGAGTTTCCGGAGGCAAGCCATTTTGGAAATGGATGCTACTCCTGCTTCCAAGCTTGTTTTAATCGGGAAGCTCCAACAAACACTGTCCACCATGGGTAACCATTATCACATTTGGCACATCACTGTCAAAGTGTTCAGCATCACAGTAACCACAAGTTACCTCTGTACAGCAAATGGACAGACCAGGGCTATACCACCTAGAATGGTTTAAACAAAAACAAGTAAAACCAGGCCTGAGGGGCACAGATTAAAATCATCCACCTTTGGCTTGGTAGCATAACTTTCTATCCAGTAGGCCAACAGAGCTCTCTTGTTGTTGTTGTTGTTGTTGTTGTTGTTGTTAAGTACCGTCAAGTCGTAGACAACTCACAGAGAAACTATGAACAAAAGACCTGAACACTTGTGTAACTTTCATCGTTTCTCCATGTTCATTGAGTTTCCAGAGACAAGCAATTTTTGAAGTGGATGAGTGTTTTAGGAGATACTTCAGACAATGTGCCTGAGTGGTACAAATGGTGAAACACTAGGCTACTCACCAAAAGGTTGACAATTCAAGCCCAGAGGCACATAAGAAAATAATCTGCTTCCAAAACACCTTATGGGAGGCAGTTTTACTCTGAAATAAATAAGATGGAGTTGACTTGATAGCAGCTGGTCTGTTCAGACAGCATCTGATAAACATGAATCAGGTGAGCTTTCTAGAGTGAGAATTCTCCAAACATGGGCTTTTGTGAGACTCTAGCCTCAACAGATACCATTTCTTAGGAAATCGGATGCACCTTTTCAAGGATAGAACAGGAAATCTGCTACAAATATTCTAGGACAGGTCCAGCCTCGTCCCTTCATGCCTGCTAAAGGATTCCTGGGAGGACCGCCCACCCTGCATTTCAAGACAACTACAGCTGGACATGCTCAGTGCTCTAAAACTGCAGACATGTGGAAGGAGAGTAGTGTCAGGCACAGCTGAGGAAGATCATGTTGTAATAAGAACATGCCTCTTAAATGTCATGAGGTAGTGAGCGGTGGAGGCAAGAAACTAGAGATGAGAGATGGAGTTGAAGTCTACTGGGGCCAGTAACAGGAATTCTATACGGGTGCACAGCTACCTGTAGGGACAGACTGCTGAGCAGTGCTGAAACGGGAATATGGTCATTTCTAGGATTGACTTGCGTTTTCACTGGATAACACTTTTTATACTTTCAGGTGTAAAAGTTGCAGCAACTCCTAGGACAGGGTGCTGTAGGTTCCCACAGGACACCAGGCCTACATAGAACATCCACAGCAGGGCCAATTTATGACAAAATGTGTCTTAGATATCAGGTTTCTGAAACCAGCGAGGTCCCCTGAACTCGTAACACTGGAAAGGTAATTAAGGAAGACTCAAAACTCAAACTTAGTGTTGTAGAGTTGGAATGGACTCAGAGCTAATCCGCCTTGGCTTTCCAAACCTGTAAATCACATGGGAAGAGATTGCTTATCTTCCCTCTGAGGAGCTGTGGGTGGATCTGAGCTGGTAGAGAGCCCTTTCAGTTAGCAATACAACTCTGTACTGACCACTCCACAGAGCTCCCAGTTAAGGGAGCTGTTCATCGCCACTGAACTGGAACCAACTCATAGCCAACTCTCCAGCAGGTTTTCAGAGGCTGTCAAGTCACTCAGGATATTGCCCATCTTTCTCTATGGACACAAGCTCCAGTGGAACAGCTGGTGGAGCTGACCTGCCTGTCCTTCAATTTCGCAGCACAACTCCCTACCCACTAGGCCACCAGAACTTCCCAAGGAAGAAGGGAGGAGAAATCAGAAACCTTCAAGCAGAAGTATGAAGAGTGGAGCAGGGGGGCTGTTTAAGAGCAAGAAAATGCTTATTTCCCTTATTTACGACTGTGGTGAGATTGAGCTCCATCACAAACAGTATCCTGAGGTCACCAAGCGAGCACTCACTTAGAACCACATCAACTTCCGACTATGAAGGACAGTTTCAGGGATAAACCAAGGCCTGCCTGCTGATCTTTCAGGAGGTGGAAGGACCCACCTCCTGATTCAGCTGTGGTGAGGAAGGACACTTGTGGCAAGCTGTGCCCAGGGGGCTTGCACCAGCTCACCTTCCAAATGACAGCGGACTTACCTCCTTTCCCAGATCTCACAGGGGAAATTTCTCCAGTTACATGTTTCCTGTTGAAACCTAATGCTATTATATTTGACTTCAGGTTTAACTGGCCTACCAGGGCGCTATCTAAGATGGATAAAAGTATCCAATAGCCAAGGAGAACCAGCCTGCAGCATCCAGAACAGGCTTGAGGCTTCGCACCTACCCTCTAGAAAGCAAGTGAGGGTGGAAGTAGACTTAAGGCTGGAGAGCTTCAGGGGCCACAAGAAGTCCCTTCATGTTTGCTCCTCCCTTCACTCAGCACTCTATTGTGTAACCGACTTGTTGAGATGTTAAGAGGAAAACATGCCTGAGGGGAAGGCAAAGATAATTTATGGTACTTCTTGGCTTCTGATTGGAAGCTCCTTGTTTGAAGGGTGAAGAGTGTGAAAGTGCTAATTAGAGAAAAGGAGCACTTAGGAAAGGAGGAAACGCAAGCACGTTGGGGGGGTGGGGGTGCCCCAGAGAGACAGTGTCTGTTGAAAAATGAGGAGGAGCTTGTGTGAAAGAGTAGAGATGTTTAAAGGAAACTCTTAGTAAGTTTCTCACTGTGAGATGCCATGGTATTCTGTCTGAAACCTTCTGTGAGACTCCACTCACTGATGCTTTTAAACTTAATGTAGGAGAGGGGCTTGACATGCTGACCCTGTAGCTGGTCACATGCCACACCCACGGGTATAAATACAGTGGATGTCACTCCTAAAGCACTTGGGGGGCGGGGTGTAGGTGAGGGTGATAAAAGCACAAGGCTCCTCAGGAGATTAGAGGAGAAAGGAAAGTACTGGAGAAAGCTCCAGAGAGGAGATGACAGCAGTTATCAGTGATAGGCCTTAAAGAATGACCAGAATCTCTACTACTGTTTAGGGGGAAGGGAGACGCCAAGTGCTGGAGACCAACAGCAGACACAGAGAGCTACAAAAGTGTTTGGAACATTTAAAGCGTGATAATTCCTATGTCTCAGCCACTGGATTTATGAGGATTGGCCACATCTCTCTGGTGATTTGAATCTACCAGCAGCTTCTCAGGGAAAAGGTGAGTAATCTCTTCCCATGTGACTTACAGCCTTGGAAACCCAATGGATGGGCAGCTGTGAGTCTGGCTCAATAGTAAAGCATTCTTTTTGAAAGTTGCATTAAAAAGCAAACAAACGACAAAAACCAAATATGAACAAGGCATGATCTCTGACCTCAGGGATCTCATCAGTTACTCAGTTGCAAAAGCATATGAACAAACATGGGTACTAGTGTGATAACTTCTGAGAGAGAAGAGAACCTGGCAATAAGATGACATCTAGCTCTTAGACAATGTAGGGGAAAACACAGGAGGTAATGTGGTGAAAAGGGAAGGAAGAAGAAGAGGGAAAAGAAACCGGATATAGATGGGAATGGCCTATAGACTCAGACCACTACGAGAGTCTTTGGGTAAATGTAAATGGGTCTTTGAGGCTTGTGCTCAAATTACAGAGGTAGGTCCCACACTGCACTGAGAAGAACCTTGGATGCACTGCAAAAAAAAAAAATTAAAAATGGGGCTTTATGAAGGCAGCGAAGACTCAGCTAGTCCTTAGTTGCCTGACTCTTACCTACTGCGTTTTCCTGAGTATATCCCCCTGGTACTTGCCCCTCCCTGAGTCACTGTCTGCAAAGTACAAGTCACAACAGCACACCCCGGCCTGGCACAGAGAGCTCAACAAGATGGATTACACCACCAGAGCTCCTCATCACAATGTTGTCTTAAGAAAATTAGGAAGCTTTGGTGGCCTAGTGGCAAGAAGCCGTGCTGCAATACCTAAGGCATGCGGTTTGAGACCACCAGCTGCTCCGCTGGCGAAGGATGAGCAATCTCCTCCTGTGTGATTAACTGCCTCTGAAAACCCGCTGGAGGGGCAGCTAAGGGTCGGTTCTGACATGATGGTTCACAATCACCAGCACAAGAGCTCATAAGTAAAGGTGCTGCTAAGAATAAACAAGGTTGTTTGGGATGAGTCTTACCTGCTTCGGATAAATGAGAATTTGTAGTTTTATCCTATTTGTATGTATATTTTAAATAAAAAGTAGCCTAGGACTTAATACATTTGCCATTAACCGCTTTATTCAAGCCACAAAAGTGGTCAGCCAGTACTGACAGATGCCGGGGATTCTAGTCCCTTCTCCCATTCCCACTTCTATTTTCCCGATCGTATATCAAGACAGGGGCAAAATTAAAGGATCTCTGAGCCTCCTTCAGAACTCTAGTAGTCTGTGATTGTTTCACAAATATGCTTTTGCTTTAGGACATCCAATTCATTGTGGGAAACCCAGGTGGTCCCGGGGGCTGAGCTGAGAGTGGGAACTACAACTCCCAAAGTGCTCCGGGGCGAAGGGGTCCAGCGGGATTGGCCGGGGGTGGGTGACGCGCAGTGTTTTGGCCCGGACGGTCACATGTTTCCTTTGTTGTGAGCTGCGGCAGAGCCTGGTGGCCTAAGGAGACTCGGGCGCTGGACGGGGTACTGCGCGGTCGGCCGCCGAGGGACTACAAGGGCGACCGCCACTAGCTGCTTCTAGCCTTCACCGAGAGGTACCCGGGGATGACAGCTCCGGGGCCAGCCGAAAGGCGAGGAACCGGCCAGAGGAAACGGGGGCGGAGGGACGGCCGAGATCCTGAGCACCCGGGTGTCTGCGGGAGGGAAGCCAGCGGAACCGGCCTCTCGGAGCAAGCGAGGGGTCAGAGGAGAGCTCGCGGCCGGTGCTGCAGGGCCTTTGTCTCAGGCGAGGATCCTAGGAACCTCCCCTACAGTCTGGAGCTCCGGCTCAGTAGCGAGCGTCCTGCAGGGTGGGCACCCCCGGCCCCTGGCACTCCCGCTCCGGAACCGGGGCGCTGCAGGCGCGCCCGCCCGGGGAGAGCCGGGAGGGCGAGGGCTGCCTGGGCTGGGGTCTCCCCGCCGCCGCGAGGACCCGCACAGTAGGGAGAGGCGTGTGGGGAATCTCTGGAAACCCTGGGGTCCTGCATATTGCAGATGGACTTCAAGTGGGGCGCTGCTTTTTTGTTTGTTTTTTTCCTTTAAGGAAGTAGTGGATGCGGAGGTCTCCAATCGAGCCTTCCGAGTGGTGGGGGTGACTGATGTTGCTGTTGGGGAGGACTGACCGGGTCCATTTGGGGTCTCCGAGGCTACGGGCCAGAGAAACCCCGTTAAAGCGGTTGCGAAATGTTCCCGGCGCTGTCACCTGACCGTTACCCCCGCCCCCCGCGAGCCTTTGTTTACCACTGTTCGCAGCAGAGCCGAAGCCGGGAACCGGGCCCTGGAGCCGCCGTCCCCCGGGAGCTGGGGCGGGCGTTCTGTGGCGGAGTCCCGCCCCACCTCTCCACCTTCCCACCACTCCTAGGCTCGCTCTCTTCGGTTAATTCCTGCTGCCCACGCCTCCAAACTCTGAACACCCGAGGCGGAGAATGTTAACGTGGTCAGGATTGGGCGCCTACGGCGGCTATTGGGCGGAACCATGGAGGGAGTTCCGAGTTTTTATTGGCAGATATCTTGTCGCTAGGTGGATCGGCCTCTGGCAGTTCTTCCCCGCCCCCATGAAGGTGATCTGGAGGACGCGCTGGAGTGCGCGCTCTCGATTCTCGTGCAGCTGCGGCCGGAGGGGAACCGGGGGCGGGTGGCGCGCGCTCCGCACTAGAAGGCCGCAGGCTGAAGTGGGTTCTGGGCTGGCGGCGGAGATCGGGGGACACACGGTCGGCTGAGGGCGCCTGTAGCTGAGGCTCGAGCCCGTGGGCAATTCTGGGCACGCTGGGGCATGGCACTGGTCCGCCCTCCGAGACCCGGTTAGCCCTCTTGACTGGTGTCTCATTTTAGCCGGGACGCTGGGGAAGAAGGGAAGACTTCATTTTCCATGCAGATTTGTTCTTGCCTCTTTTTTAAACAATGCTTAAACAGTGATGTGAACGGTAACGCCACATTTTAGGATGCACCACAGTCAGTCCTGAGAGCGTGACTTTTTTTAAAAAAGACGTTTTAGGATTTGCTCCTGCGGACTGTTCCACAAGGATAGATTAAAATTTTTCATGTTATCGGTTAAATTGTAAAATTAGGATGCTGCTTTTGAAAATAGATTGGGGATGTTCTCCGAAAAGTAAAGATCCACATATACTTGTATGTCGCCCCCGCTTGAGTGAACTCTGTATTTTATTGTGGTTCATATCTATCTGATAATAAAAATTATTGTTAGTAATTTGAAATTTTAGATGGGCGAATTGCGCAGGTAATAGAATTGTAAATCAAGATAACTAATCTGCAAGACCAATTAAGAGGTGAGCTTCCTAATCTATTAATAAGGTACTGGTGCTTACCAGATTTTTCTATTACAGTAACATTTCTATTATACATAACAACAGCAAATATGTAGGGAATCACTCAAGATTTCATAATAATAATAATAATTCACTTTTGTACAGTGGAGATTGATCTTCCCTGGTTGAAGCAGATGCTGAATATTAACAGCCCTCCTTGGTTGTTCATTATTTTAACGTTCAAGTGGACATGACTACACCATCTTTAGATGCTTTAGTAGTCAGATGAGCGCCTATGACCATGAACTGCATTATCACATGTGCTTTGAGGGCATTAGGGTATCTAAATGATAAGTACAAAATGCAAACCATTAGCCTTTCTAAAAATATAACCATCACTGAATAACTAACTCATTGCCATTTGAGTTTGAAGGACCTCAAATTGAACCTTCATTGGGTTTCTGAGGCTGTAAATCAGAAGGGATGTGGCCCCTCTTTTGCAGAATAGCTGGGGAATTTGAACCATCTTTGGGTTGGCGCAGCCCCATTCATTGAACCAAAGACCTACTTTTTGAACAAAGTCTGAAATGTAGTCTCTAAAACAGGAAGAAGAAATAATACTCTGGGTTGATTGTTTATCTGCTCTAATTTAAACTTTCCTGGCTTTTGTCCAAGTTGTTAAACCTTAATGCTTTCACAATAAACTTTTTTTGGACTTCCTTGTTTTCTTCCTACCATTTCCTTAAAACCCAAAGGTCAAGCCTGCGAAAAATAAATACTGGTTGTCAAATAAGTAACTAATTATTTTTGTATGTGTTTTTCTTTTACGTAGACATTTGGTACATCCTTTTTCTATAAATTTTTAAGTATAAATTTTATAGTGGAAAAGTTTAAAACAGTCTCACAAGTATAATACAGAAAATACACTTGATATGATTCTGTAACTGAAGCTACTTAAGAGTTAGCCGCTTGACAGCTGTTAACATTATAGAACTCTTCTTTAAAAAGCAAAGCCAGGGGATCCAAGATGGTGGCGGAGGCAGAGAAGGCATGGTGAGCTGCGGGAGCAGCGAACCACTTAAAGCAGGACCATTATGGCCTTCCGCAGACTTCGGCTTATTGATAATTGAACATTTAAACAGTTGATGACTGGCCCTCAGTGAAGATCGAGGCTCAACAACAGGAATTCAAGGATTCCCAAG